CCCCCCAGCCATAGAGAGGCAGAGACAGAGCGTCCTTCCTTCCTCGCCCCCTTCTCCCGGCCTAAGCTCAGCGCGCTCCCGCGGGCAAGCGGCGCCCTGCGCGGACCACCCGCACCCCCACGCTCCCCGGCCACGGAGCCGCAGCGGCAGCGTGTGAAGTCTGGAGCTCGGTCCCGGGGCAGCTGGACCAAGCCTTTCCGCCAGCAGGGACCCCGCGGTGGGGTCCATAAGAGAGCGAGGCTCCTAGGGGCCCGTAGCAAGACACCGTCCCCCCGCTGCTGTGGACACAAAGAGCTGTAAGAGTCTGGGAGGAAGATGGGTATGAACGGGTCACCGGTTACCCAGCTTCCCTGGGCCCACCGCGCCACGGGCCGAGGCAGGAACCAGCTCTCCGCTAGCGGGCTCTGCAGTATGCCCGCAGCACATGTAACCATGTAAAGGCACGGTTTTAAAGGGCTTTTTACATCCCTACACATTCATGGCGATTTATATGCAAATAATAGAACTCCCCATTTAAATTAGATAAAATATGTGCAAAGATTAAGGGATTAAAATACAGCCCATTTGATTACTTGTATTCAAATTATGTATTCACCTTGTAATTCCAGGTGGGGATTATTTTGGAGAGGAGGAGAATAAGAACAATATCGATGGAGTATTATTTTCAAATGGTGCTCACAGTCACTAATGGTCATGGAATAATATTTTATGCTATTTGGATTTTTAGTAGAAGGCTATAAATAGTGTTTTTGTGGAGGATGAGAACTTTCTTGAAAAAAGATCCTGAGAATTTTTAGACTAGGGGAGGGATGTAAAAACAAAGTCCAGGTTAAGGAAGAAAATGAAGGGCATGAATTATCTCAATCACTTCAGTGGACTAATTCAAGAAATGCTGTTGTCTTCAGTTGGAGGAGTTTGTGTACTATAAACCTGCCTCTTGGTGACACTCCATACCATGCTTTATTAAGCAGTTTAGACTAGAGCAGAAATGGAGAAGAGAACTTTTTTTTTATTTGGGAGCTGCTGATCCACAGAAACATAAGTCAGGGGCTACACACAAGTGAAAAGCAAAACGAAAACCACCTCACTGACGTGGTCCCCAACGGAGGAGAAAAAGACATTCCCTTCACATGCCAGAGACTAGTGGGACCCAGGCTTGTAGATTTTGTGTGCTCTAGTCCCACACTAAAATGATGGGAGGGCTGGTGCGCCAGCACATGCTCCCCGATGCTGGGGGACCAGCCCCGAGGGCTAGATGCAGGCAAACTGGTAGCCACTGGTAGTCAGGAGGGCTGGTGCGCCAGCACATGCTCCCCGATGCTGGGGGACCAGCCCTGAGGGCTAGATGCAGGCAAGCTGGTAGCCGCTGGTAGTCGCAGGTGGCCCCCAGGCCTTAGGTTTCCCATCCCTGGACTAGAGGAATTAAAATAGGTCAAATAGGTGCCACTGTTTGATACAATAGTTTAAAATGCCTGGTGCCTTCTCAGCAAGAACAATACTTTAGAGAAACCTAGGTGAGAATGAAGACTGCAAAAAAGCTTTTCATTTTGGAAAATCCTTCTGAAATAGGTACATGAATACAGTTACAAATCCCATTTCAACCATGCAGATACAAAATTTATTTTATATACAATATCTTTTAAAATATCAACTCAGGTTTCCTACAAAAGAAAACTTATATATAACATTTTATAAAGCTAATTTAGACCCTGCTCTGATACGGAAGTGAACATATACATTCATAAATATCATAGATGAGTGTTAATTATACAGGAAATACACAACTGCATCAGGGAGACGACTGTCAATTCTGTTCACTAGTTCATGTATTGTATTCTGTATACATAAAACTGTATAAATACAAATAAAAGTATGTGTCTTCAAACTCAGAATGCAAAGAATTCATTTATATATGTATACAACATACACCGCCTATGTACAACAGCTTTACAGTATATATTACATAGGCTGCACATTAAATTGCAATTTAGACATACACAAAATCAGAATCAACAAAAGTGGTAATTTTAGAAAATTCTTCAGTGACTAAGAAAGAATTCAATAACTTTTTGATTAAAAAAAATTACAGAAGCACAAGTTGTGAAGGCAGTATTTCACATGTACGGAGCCCAGCCCAGGTACATCTGACAGAGCAGGTTCTCATCATTTGCTTCTTGAATGAGGTAATGAACGTGCCCTTCAATAGACAAGGGCAATCCTTTTACCCGGTTCCTAGTCTTAATCACACCCTGAAGCCGCTGTTCTATGTCAAGGACATGAGTCTTTGCCTATAAACAAGAGAAAAAAACCTTACAATTCATATAGCTATGTATTTGTCATATCTGTAATAGAAACATTTCCTGTTCTTCCAAATAAACTTTTGGCCAATTATAGCTTGTATTTCAGATCCCACATAAACAGATTTAATATACAAATATCTATGAACTTTTTCTGAAAACAGTTGGATTTCCTTTTGTCACTTTCTTCATTCTCAAGAACTGCTTGCTTTTTGGACAAGCTATAGCCTTTACATTAACTTTACAACTAGATCTTAAAGATCGAATAAATTATTGCACATCCTCTTGAAGCAGATAGCAATGAAATGTGTTTCATTCTATAAAAATCATTTCATTATCACCGTATATACATGTGGCTCAGTAACAAAGAGCCCACGAGACAACTAATCAAAAGAGCATGTTCCAGAAAATATTCAACCTTCTTATGTTCAGAAAAGCATTTTTTTTTTGTTTTTTTAACTTAAAAATGGTGATGGTGGGGAGGAGGTAGGTTGACTGTTACAACGCAAGCAGGACTGTAAACATTTTCCGCTGAATGTCTTCCGCTGAATGTAAAAAAACAAAACAAAAAAGACTGGAAGTATGGACCAGACTTGAGCCAAAAACAATATTTTGACTAATACTCAACCATGAAATTAGGCAAAATACACAACTATTATCATGAGGTCTTGTCCTTGAATATCATCAGTTACATCATCAACCAATGAGAACTGATTCTCAACTTACAATGAAAGGAGCTCTATATTCTCAGGCATAAAGGGAAACAAGAAGACATTCTATAAATATATTATAAGCAAGAGGAAGACCAAGGACAGGGTAGGCCCATTGCTCAGTGAGGAGAGGGAAACAGTAACAGGAAACTTAGAAATGGCAGAGATGCTTAATGACTTCTTTGTTTCCATCTTCACCGACAAGTCTGGTGAAGGAATGCCTGACATAGTGAATGCTAGTGGGAAAGGGGTAGGTTTAGAAGATAAAATAAAAAAAGAACAAGTTAAAAATCACTTAGAAAAGTTACATGTCTGCAAGTCACCAGGGCCTTATGAAATGCATCCTAGAATACTTAAGGAGCTGATAGAGGAAGTATCTGAGCCTTTAGCCAGCATCTTTGGAAAATCATGGAAGACAGGAGAGATTCCAGAAGATTGGAAAAGGGGAAATATAGTGTCCATCTATAAAAAGGAAATAAAAACAACCCAGGAAACTACAGACCAGTCAATTTAACTTCTGTGACAGGAAAGATAATTAAGCAAGTAATTAAGGAAATCATCTGCAAACACTTGGAAGATAATAAGGTGATAGGGAACAGCCAGCATGGATTTGTAAAGAACAAATCATGTCAAACCAATCTGATACCTTTCTTTGATAGGATAACAAGTCTTGTGGATAAGGGAAAACTGGTGGACGTGGTATACCTAGACTTTAGTAACGCATTTGATATCGTCTTGTATGATCTTCTTATCAATAAACTAGGCAAATACAACTTAGATGGGACTACTATAAGGTGGGTGTATAACTGGCTGGATAACTGTTCCCAGAGAATAGTTATTAACAGTTCACAAATCTTCTGGAAAGGAGTAACAAGTGGGGTTCCGCAAGGGTCTGTTTTGGGACTGGTTCTGTTCAATATCTTCATCAACCATTTAGATATTGGCAAAGAGAGTATGCTTATTAAGTTTGCAGATGATACCAAGCTTGGAGGGGTTGCAACTGCTTTGGAGGATAGGGTCATGATTCAAAATGATCTGGAGAAATGGTCTGAGGTAAACAGGATGAAGTTTAATAAGGACAAATGCAAAGTGCTCGACTTAGGAAGGAACAATCCGTTTCACACATACAGAATGGGAAGCAAATTGTCTAGGAAGGAGTATGGCAGAAAGGGATCTAGTGGTTATAGTGGACCACAAGCTAAATATGAGTCAACAGTGTGACACTGTTGGAAAAAAAGCAAACATGATTCTGGGATGAACTAACAGGTATGTTCTGAGCAAGACACGAGAAGTCATTCTTCCGCTCTACTCTGCATTGATTAGGCCTCAGTTAGAGTACTGTGTCCAGTTCTGGGTGCCACATTTCAAGAAAGATGTGGAGAAACTGGACAAGGTCCAGAGAAGAGCAACAAGAACGATTAAAGGTCTAGAGAACATGACCTATGAAGGAAGGCTGAAAGAATAGGGCTTGTTTAGTTTGGAAAAGAGAAGATTGAGAGGGGACATGGTAGCAGTTTTCAGGTATCTAAAAGGGTATCACAAGGAGGAGGGAGAAAACTTGTTCTTCTCTGTGGATAGAACAAGAAACAATGGGCTTAAACTGCAACAAGGGAGGTTTAGGTTAGACATTAGGAAAAACGTCCTAACTGTCAGGGTGGTTAAACACTGGAATAAGCTGCCTAGAGTGCCTGTGGAATCTCCATCTCTGGAGATATTTAAGAGTAGGTTAGATAAATGTTTATCGGGGATGATGTAGATAGACAGTACTGGGTCCTGCCATGATGGCAGGGGACTGGACTCGATGACCTCTCGAGGTCCCTTCCAGTCCTAGTATTCTATGATTCTATAATAAGATCACTCATTTATCGATCTCATATATTGTATTACATACAAAAAACTGTACTAAAAGAACATTAAGATCCCAAAGTCAAACTCTTTAAGAGTTAGGAAATGCCAGAATGAAGATTGACTGTATAAGTTTAATTTAGCTCCCTTATACTAACTCAACCCCACTATGATACAGACTTGATTTATATGCTTGATGCTGCACATCAAGGATCAATGGATCCTTTTCCACAGGAGCTCATTTACTGTATATGACAGACCTTTTCTGAGGATCAGTCAGGGTTGTGAAATGAAAGAGGCTTCTCTGTATGGCCCTGCCTCCTTTGTTGCAGAAGTCAGAAGATATGTAGTGAATGAATAAGGTGATTACAAGAGAAAGGCTGGTCTCATAGTTAAGGCAGTTGAGTACTGCCTGGTAAGACAAAATTCTACTATCCCTGTCTGTGCTGTGGCTGTAAACAAACTTTATGAGACTGCAGGAAACGTGGCCACACCCCATTGTAAGTGGACAACTGGCTAACTAAAACTATGTCAAACCACAGACTAGAGAGGTTCAACCTGTATCTGAGGTTCCATTCCAGACTTTTGAGGGGACTCTGTTCTAGCAGGTTAAGATACACTGATGATGGAAACGGTAGAATCTATAGTACAGACACAACTCAAGTGGTATCATTACTGTGTCATCTATTGTGAAAGCTCTACATTAGTTATGGGGTTAAGCAGTATTTTCTGTTTAAAAGTCCACTCTTGTAAGTACTGTAAAATTCATGTGTTTATATAGATTGTCTTGAAAATTGCTGTCTCTCATGGGGATGCTAGCTAGAATTCATGATCTAAATTTGGATAATTTAAATAGGAGCTTCCAAGTTATGGTCCTCGCCACTAACCCCCAAAATCATAATGGTAAAAATTAATGAGTCTTTTCGTCACTACAGTTTCTATTATAGGTGGAACTGCAATTATGCGTCCTAATTTTACCAGTATAGTCTAGACTTAGAGAGTGATACTAAAAAGATACAGTAGATCTCATGAAGGCTTTTATTGAAATACCAGTCTCATATTTGAAGGATTAAACAACAGCAAAGAGATAATTAATAAAAAACCAACTAGAATACCTTTTGAAGAAAAATACAAGGAAAGTAAAGTCTTGCATAAATTAGAACAAAACAACTGATACTGTGAAATATAAAATAATTAAATGTTAGTTTGAGAGTAGATCAAATGTCTTGCAACTAACCTTTTCATTGACAACTTCCCCAGTTTCATTCACCTGTGCTTTTGTATTACCTTTCACTGGTTTACTCCACTCTACAAGAGGATCATGGATAAAAGTCTTCAAGACACTAAAAACATACAAACAAAAAAAATGTTGATTGTGTGGGAAAAGGATTACTTATAAACTTCTTTTGACCCCGAAAAATTAAAATGTGTCTTTTGACTACTAACTTAATTGTTTTTTAATCCAAGACATGTTTTTGTTTGCTAAAATAAAACATTAATGCCTAAGATTAATAATTAATAACCTGTAATGTCTTCATTTCCAAAAAGGAAGGGAAAACAATTATGAAGATACTAAATTCATTTTAAAGAGGCTATTTCCTTTACAGTTCTCTGTACAGTATCACTGCTGGTAATTTCTTGCAGGTTAGCTTTGTCCATGACTTCAGTCATAAGGAACACACCTATTCTTTTGAATTTGATTTTGTATCCTCCATCAGCAGTCTTTGCAGTTATAATATCAGAGCACCAAACCTTTCAGAAGGCAGTAACATAATGCTTTTAATATCTGGATAGGTTAGTGGATCATTAATGTAACTGAAAATCTTCAGAACATGAGCTACCTTCCATATTTCTCTCAGTAAAGATTTTAAGTTTATTCCCAAATTAATACAAAACTAATCAGTGTAAGCAATTTTGCTGCAAACAGTACAGTGAGGTACATAGCAAGTGTGTGACAACCCCACAAATTAAAAGCAGATTACAGAACATCCAAAGTAAGCATCAAGGTCTGCCGCCCCTGCCCCAGACTCCTAGTCTATAATTAACCCATCATGAACTAAATATTGGCAAGCCAAAGGCTCAGCAATGTGGGATGTAAGCACAAAGGAATAAAAGACACTCTCTGCCTGTCATCACTACTGAGCCTCACTGATTCAGCTAAGAATGTATCAAATTCCAGTGCCCTTAACCAAACAAAGCTAACATTTATTTAATGGATATTTTGTATAATGAAGGATTCCACAGTTTGACTCCACATGAATATTAAATACAAAAAATGCCAGTTTAATGAGAAATGCTATCCTTAATAGCACCCCAAAATTCATTTCATAAGATTATATTGTTATATTTTGCTAGCTTTAAAAAACACATAGAACTCTTTGACATCTCTTTTTCTAGAGAAAAAATAAATGATTCTTTTAACATGCAACAATACCACCAGAAACAAAATTAACATTTGTTGAACTGAATTCAAGAAAACCTGTCAACAAATCAATTATTAAAAAATTGGATTCAGTCTCAGGGTGGGGAGGCTACTAAGAACTCAGGATGTGAAGGAGTAACTGGTTAACCATTACCCAGGAGCAGCCACGGTCCTGCCAAAGGCAGAGCTAAAAACTGGCAGACCTTCCCTCTCCTAGTTGCCTCTTCTGGCCCAGCACAAAGCTGTATACACACGGGGGGGGAAAGAGGGATAGAGATGGGGGGGGACACACACAAGCCCAGCGGGCTGGAATGGCTCCTCCCCATACGGCCCAGTTTAATCAGTTAACTAATTAAATGGGATTTTAAATCCCTATTTAAGAACATTTTAGCTTTACACTCTAGACTAGCAGCAGATCATGGGTCAGATCTTTTGTTCCACCCAAAGCTTCTCTGCACTGAACTTAGTGATTTACAACTTTCTCAAACAGCGAAGGATTCCCCCTGAGAAGAGCAATGCAGCTGAGTAACTAGCTCAAAAGAACTAAGAAGAAAAGGCAATTTGAGGTAAATAAAAGCTAAATAGAGTTATATTTTGAGTTTAGTACAAGACAGTAAAACTTCTATCCACAGTAAACCTTGGTAGTTTTTCTTATTACTAGCTACAAAGTAACTCTATAGTTGTTAAAAAATGTGTTAAGTAACCATACTGTTACTTTTATACACAAAAGTGCATGTCAAACTCAATCTGTGCTATTTTAAGAAGATTTTTTCCTCTTCCCAAAAGGAACCAGCAGTTAACATTTCAAGTTTATATAATAAACTAGATATTTTTATTAAATATTGATTGTTACTGTACCTCATTAAAGGTTCTCTCTGATCACGCATTAACCTCATTGTGACTTCACAAGCCCTTCTGAAGAGACCTTCTGTCCCCATAGGTCCCATTCCATTGACCATATTATGAGTGAGGCGAAAAGGTACAATTTCTGGAACTTCAAAAGTTTCCCCCTGCAAATTAATAAAAAGTTAATTAAATCTGAAGTTAAATTCAGAACAGTTTTTCTGATTTATTATTTCTATAGAGCAGAGGTGGGGAACCTTTTTTGGGTCTGGGCCACTGACCCACAGAAAAAAGAATAGACGGCTGCACACAAGTGAGAAAAAAACCCCACCCCCTACCAGCATGGGATCCCCAATGCTGGTAGGAGCCCTGAGCCTCAGGGGCTGGATCCAGGCAAGCTGGTGACTGCATCAAGCCCCCAAGCCTTAGGTTCCCCACCCCTGCTATACAGCTTCTTTTCTAAACTGTATGTCGTCCATTGCAGGTGAAACAACTAACTTATCTTACCTAACTACTATCATCTCAATTACCCACCGGGGGAAATAAAAAACAAATTGAAAAAGCCAGACGAATACCCAGAAACCATGTACTTCAAGATAGGCCCAAGAAAACCAACAATAGAACACCACTTATCACCTATAGCCCCCAACATAAACCCCTCCAACGTATTATCAATAGCCTACAACCTATACTGGAACAGGATACTACACTCCGAGAGGCCCTGGGGGACAGACCCATAGTCTCCTATAGACAACCACCTAACCTCAGGAGGATTCTTACTAACAACCACAGGACATACCACACAAATTTACCAACCCTGGAACTTTCTCTTGCAACAAACCCCGTTGCCAACTTTGTCCACATATTTACTCTGGTGACACCATCACTGGACCTAACCATGTCAGTTATATGATCAAGAAAACATATTCCTGTTCATCCAGAAATATAATTTGTCATCATGTGCCAACAGTGTCCTGTTGCTATGTATATTGGACAGACTTCTCAGACTCTTCGCCAAAGAATTAATGCCCACAAATCAGACATGTTCACAAGGAAAAACCAGTTGCTTTTCATTTCAACCTACCTGGACATAATCTTAACCACCTTACTACATGCATTTTACTTCAGAGACTTTAATACCAGATTACAGAGGGAAGCTTCAGAACTTTCTTTCATGCTTAAATTTGACACTTTACGAATGGGCCTTAACAAAGAGGCTAATTACTTAACCATTACAAAGATAGCTTCCCCACTTATCACCCCTGATTAGCCACTCATTGACTCATAAATAGCTATTCCCTCCCTCTCTCTCCCTCACCCCACCCTCTGTACTAAATCTGTTTTGTTAGTTTAATAATGTGTTCACTTTTTTCATTGTATTCCTTTGGTATATATGGTCATACCAATTTTTGTCCAGAATATGATCTGAAGAAGTGGATCTGGTCCACGAAAGCTCATCACCTATTAAACCATCTTGTTAGTCTTTAACATAGTTTTTCCTTTTGTTTTTACTATCATCAGAGTAAACCAAATTCAGGTGACCCTGACATAGATTTGAATTATATTATCTCAGCATTGCTTCAGGAGGTCTCATCCCAGCTATCAGGCATCTGGCCATTTCACAAGTCCATCTCTCCATTTAGAAAATTTTGGCACGAGCAAAGAATTGAATACAGATATGTGACAAAATAATAGAGGCGACAAAGACTAGGAGTCTGGTGAAAGATTGGTAAGAAAATTGGCAAAATGTCTATTTGTGCCAGTTTTCTAGCCTATGTTAGCCTTTTCACGTAACTACCAAATATTCTTTAATGTTTTTTGTTTAAAATCACACACAGCTTTCAAGATTTACATTTTTCTAAATATTTATATTTGTTCACCTTCCAAGGCAAGTTATGATGATAGTTTTAAAATCCTCATTATTCTCATAATTTATAATAAAAACATTTTATTTGTTTTAAAAACAAGGTTGAATAGGACTAACAAAGCCAAATGATTGGTATCAAAGATGTAACAGGGAAACTAAATGAACAGCTCCCATATTGCATATTTCTGAATTAAACCAAACACCAACTAAATCTTGCAATATAAATCCTGAAGTCAACTCGGGCCAAAATTAAAAAGTAAATGCCACTTTCTTCCATGGCAAGTTTTCTGTTGAATAAGTGATGTACAAAACTGCATTATCCAGAACAGCAGAAAAAAACTAATCAGAATGTTTTCTAAAATCAAGCAAGTACTTTCATATGTGGTAACATTTTAGTGTATCCAAAGAAAGTTCATATAATGCAGGATGAAAAAAAATGGCTTTAATTGTCAAGGCATATAGGACCAAGGCATATAGGACAATAATGACTTTATATAAAATAAGTTTCTACTGGGTATATAGATTTATATAACTTAAGGCATTGAATAAGACAATAATTTATGGCTATTCGTAACAGATATTCTGAGACTCAGAAAAAAGAAATACTGAAAAAGTAGGAAGGATTTGTGGATTTTGAACTTACAAGTATTTAAAATTTAACAAGCAAGATCAGCAAGACATTTCCCACCTTATTGAACAAACAGTTGAAGTCCACATGCACACATTCACCAGTCAAAGAATCAAAAAGAATATTTTCACCATGGCGATCTCCCAGACCCAGTATGTAACCAACCATGGACATCACTGCAGTGGAACGGCAATAGGCTGATCTGCTACTGTACCTACAGAAAATAAGAATCCAGTGTAAAAAAATAAGATCACTTACTCTTGTACAACTTTTCAGACAATTTAGACTTTTAAACAGCTTTTGTGCTCTTCATGCAAAGTTCCAGTATTACTTTCCTTAGTACATATTTCGTTTTCTATTTGCTTTATTTACATTTTGCTGAAGTACATGAAAAGATATAACCTATCTAACTGTGAGAACTATTTACAATGAATGTGAGAAACGGGAACCATTAACTAACTAAGTAGGCTGGGAGATATGGAGACGCTCCAACGACCGTCGCTGCGGTAAGAAGGAACTGAGGTGTGGCAGCGCCGGCAGGGTTACTTATGCCCTGCCATGGCGGTGCCACTCCAGAGGGCGCCCTGCCGGCGCTACAGGTACAGCTAGGGAAAACGCTCTGGAAGATGCGGTTCACGCGGTGCGCACACCTACTCCGAATGGACATGAGCAACCACTTGAAGAAGAACTAGTGTAATCGAGCTACCATTACTGCAGCAACTGACCATAAAGTAGGATCAGGGAATGTTCTCAGAAACCATTCATGAAAAATAGGAGGGTGTCGGGGCAGAAGAGTTTCTTTGAACATTTTCAGCTTTTCAGACAAAGGTGCCGACTTTGGAAGCATATGTTGACGTAACTCCTTTCCAGTCATATAGACTCCTATAAAAGATTTCAATCAGACATAATATAACAAGACCTATCCTCCTATCCCCAATTACTATTAAGCATTCATCAAATGTAGACTAAAATACCAAAATTAGAACAGGTTTTACAGTTATAATTAAATTAAATTAATATTTGTAAGGCAGGAAAAAAGGCAGCTGTGCAAACACATTATAAATTCAAATCTTGGCTAAGGCAAGTTACATGAAATAAACAAATTGCCATGAATCATACCATTTGACAGATGTGAAAGCCAAAGCCACTACTGTCATATGCAGCTCAGAAAATTTTGAGTGCTGTGCGGTTGATCTTCTAGATGAAGCATTAAAAATGTTTCTCCAATATTAATGATTTTATTATGTGTCTCAAAGTATAGTTAATTTGTTGGAAAAGAAAAAGATTCATTTCACTTTTCACTGGAAAGTCATTATGTCAGTTAATTAGATAAATGATAAAAACGATTAAGATTAAAAATAAGTCACGTAAATGTGATAGGCAAAAAATAAGAAATAAAAATCACATCTGTTTCATTTGTGTGATGCCCTAAAAACAACAGAAAGTTTAGATATTCTTGAATTAATGAGTAAAACAAAAACAATCAGCCAACAGTGTGCTGTTAATGGACAAATGCAATATATTGCACCTTCAAGATAGGATAAAGAAGTGTCTTACAAGGTAATTTTCTGTCTGTTAGAAGCTTCTCTCCTCATTCAAAACAAATGGGAAATTCCTTCTGAGGTTTCAGTTGAAAGACAGGGCTTTGTCCTGGAGTTTCTAGCAACAACACTAGAACATCTCCAAATTGCACAGATGAGAACCATTATCCATTTGTTATGAATGACAAGAAGTAGCAGAATTAAGTTATCACATATTCTACAGCTCAGTTTTGTCTAGAACAGGGGTGGACAAATTTACTGACTGACCCACATATGACCATCTTCAGAAGTTGGAAAGCCGGGGCACACCTGCCAGGGCTTCAGCTGCATGAGAACCACATTCTGGGGCTCAGGGCTTCAGCCCCACTTCTCCTGAAGCCTGGAGCACTGGCAGGTGTGCACCATGGGGCTAAAGCCCCAGGAACACCCCTCCTGCTGGGCAAAAGCAGCTAACCCCACCACTCAACTGCAGGACTGAAACCTTAAGCTCTCTCTTCCTCCCACCTTCCCAATCTGGTAGGAAGAGTTTGGAACAGGGAGATTCAGCTCTGTGAGCTGCACTTTAACTGTAAAAGAGCCACATGTGCCTCATGAGCCACAGTTTTACCATCTCTGGTCTAGAAGTTTGGAGTCTGAGCACTTGATTTCTGACTCATTTACTGAGAGATACAATCCTATCCAAAGGCA